CCCATTCCTGATCGATGTTTTGAGGAGGGGGATGAGGAGGAGGAGGAGGAGGAGGAGGAGGAGGAGGAGGAGGAGGAGGAGGAGGAGGAGGAGGAGAGGGAGGAGGAGGAGGAGGAGGAGGAGGCGTATGGGGAGGAGGCGGAGGAGGAGGAGGAGGGAGGAGGATGTCTGACCCCCAGCGCCCTCCAATGTTCGCTGTTCTCGGGCCCTTGCCGCCCACGGGGCTCGTGAAAAGCTCGTGCTCCAGAGTTGTGCTGCTGGAGGCGTTTTCTTTTGCGTCGGGAGGATATGCCGTGCTCCTGTCTGCAGGGATGTGTTCCTTGGGTTGGATGGGGCCGTTCGAGAATCGCCCATGGATGGACAAGTTCGTCGGGACCTCCGGGAGTCCAGGGCCACGGGGAGCTTCCATGACCCATTTCGACCCAGTGTCCGGGACTGTCATTGCAAGCAGCACAGCCTGCTTCCTGGGCTCTGCGCTGCCTCCCCCTGGCGGCGCCGCCTCTGGCGCGTTCCTTCGCGCCACGGAGAGGGGTCCAGTGTCGATCCAGGGAATTCCACGCAGACGTCTGGCAGTTCATGCTTATGCAGGCTTTCTTTGTTTTTTGTGTGATTTCATATCTCCAGCCCAAGAGCTCTTCGAGATGAGAAGCCGTTCCCGGGGGGAAGCCCCTGGGTCTAGGACCCGTTCCCCTCAGGACCCCTTTCCATCCACTTCATTGCATCCCCCTTCCCTGCATGAGGATCGAAGCTGTTCCATGTTTTTGGTACTGTGTGAACCTCCAGTGATTCTTAGGCTTACGCCACACCGCCGACCCCTTGTTTATGCCAATCTGGGGGTAGTAGAAGCTGCGAAGGGGTGAAAAGGCGAGTGATATTTCAAGCGAAACAACCCAGTTGTGTGCGCGAAGTGTTTTAAAGCGGGACGAGCGCCGCGGAGAGACCCTCCGAAACGCCCGGCGGAACCAAGTGACGAGCATTGCGACAAGGCACGGAAGTTGCGAGGAATCTGACCGCTGGGGACGGGATGGATAAGGCCCGCGTTTACAGACGTGAGCCATTTATCGGACAGTCAGAAAGAACATTACAGGAGAACGGGCCAAACGCATCGCCCGGTCATGTGCCGCGCGTGCCACGAAAAATCGGAGGCCCAGATTTTCCGTTGTGGAGCATGCCCGACGGGGGCGGATGGGAAGGCGCCCGCGTTCACAGACTTGAGCCATTTGTCCGATAACCAGAAAGTACATTATAGGAAGACGGGCCAGGCGCATCGCCCAGTCGTGTGCCGCGCGTGTCACGATGCGCGCACGGGGGCGAAAAAGTTTGAATGCTCCGCGTGCCCACCGAACGGGGACGGGAAGAAACCAGCGTTTTCAGACGGGGGCCATTTGTCGAAAGACCAGAAGAAGAATTATTTCAAGCGAAACAACCCAGTTGTGTGCGCGAAGTGTTTTAAAGCGGGACGAGCGCCGCGGAGAGACCCTCCGAAACGCCCGGCGGAACCAAGTGACGAGCATTGCGACAAGGCACGGAAGTTGCGAGGAATCTGACCGCTGGGGACGGGATGGATAAGGGGGACGTGGAGGAGGGAGGATGGGGGAGCAGCCAAAGGCGGAGAAGGTGAAAAGTGAGCCAGTGGAGGGAATACGAGACAGAAAGCTGAGAGGGGAGACGGGAGGAGGGGGCGGAAGAGGAGGATGAGAAGGAGCAGGAGAACACGACGAGGACGACAATGGCGGCGACAGACTCGACGGCGTAGGCTGGGCACCTTTTTGGGGCCATCTTGGGGGCTTCGTTGACCGTTGTGGGAGCCTCTGGCGCCGTCGTCGTGAGAATCCTCTCGGGGGCCTGCGGGAGGCAGTTTGGAGGCTTCTGGGGAGCTGTTTTGGGGCAGCTTGGGGCTTTTTTTGGGCTTGTTGGGGGCCTCTTGGGGGCTTCTTGGAGCCTCTTGGAGGCCTCTTGGGGCCTCCTTGGCGCCTTTTGGGGCGGAAGGCTAGAATTTTAGGTTCGTGGTCCCCGTCTGGAGCCTTTCTTGGGCCCCTCTGTGGGCCCTCTTGGACTGTCTGAAGGCCCTCTTGAGCCGTTTTGAGGCGCTCTTGGGCCGTGTTGGGGCCCACTTGGGAGCCTCTCGGGTCGTCTTGATGCCGTCTTGGGGGCTTCTTTCGCCGTCTTGGAGCGTCGGAAGCCCGAAAAAACGCGAAGGCCAAAAACGTTGAAAAAACCAATGGAAATCGACGATTTTGGCCTCTTGGGGCCATCTTGGGAGGCGTCTTGGAAGCTTCTTGGGGCGTCTTGGAGGCATCTGGGGCCATCTGGAGGCCATCTTGACCGTCTTCGAGTGTTTTTTCGGCGACTCGGGGCCCTCTTGGACCGTCTGCAGAGCTTCTTGGGAGCCTCTTCGCTCGTTTGCGGCCCCCCCAGCAGACTCTCTGGAGCGGATGACCCCCCCCGGACCGCGCCGGCGGATCCCGGGGAATCCGGCCGGACCCCCCCCCCCCCCCCTCCAAAACGACCGGACCAGGCTCCGGGGGGAGGGGTTTGGGGAGGGGGGAAGCATCTCACACGCCGATGACCCCAAGGGGTCGGCGGATTTCGTGGGCCTCGCGGGGTCTGAGCGGACCTGTGGAGCCCAGGCTAGACAGCCAGAGGACTGAGTTGTTCAATCTTGCATTGATGTCCTTTCTTTCGGTCTCTGGGCGGCCGTTGGCGGCCAACTGGACCATCAGAAAGCGATCACGAATGAAGCACTGGCTCCAGTAAAGTGATCGTTTCCTTGTTCATTGTCTCGCCGATCGGCGCGTGCCCTCGCATCCCCCCCCCCAACCCCTCCCCATGAAGGTGATCTTGGCTGCTCCTGGCGCCTAACTCAGGCAGGCGGAGTCTCTCCCATGATGGACGCACTGCCGCAAACAGTCGCAGTAAGCAGAGGTCCGCAGCCAGCCCCTCCCCCCTCCCTCCTCTTCCGCTCAATGTCGGAACGCCGAACAAGAACATGTTCACGAAAGAGGAGGAGGAGGCCCTGGGCCCGTCGCCCTCTCTCCCCTCGCCCCTCCCCCATCCCCCTCCCTCTCCACTTCTCGTCCCCTTCTCCATCCCCCCGTCGTCCACTCCTCGTCCATTCCTCGTCCATCCCCATCCCTTTCCACTCCCCTCCCTCTCCATCCCCCCTCCCTCTCCATTCTTCGTCCTTCTCCTTCTCCATCCCCCTCCCTCTCCATTTTTCGTCCACTTCTCGTCCCTTCCCGTCTCTCCATCCCCCCGTCTCCGCCATCACTCTCCTCCTCCTCCTCCTCCTCCTCCTCCTCCTCTGCTGCTGCTACGCGTCCGCGTCCCCCCTCTCCCCCCTTCTCCGCGCGTCCGCCGCCCGCGTGCCTCGCCTCCGCTTCTCTTCGTCTCCGCGTCCTCGCCGCTGCCCTCCTGCTCCTGCTGCGACGTCCTCCTCCGCCCCCCCCCCCTCTCCCTCGCCGCCCCCTCTCCTGGCCTCGCCGCCGGGCGTTGGAGCGGCGGCGGCCGGTGCTGGCAGCGGCGCGCTTCCGCGTTCCAGTTCTCTCCTGATGGGCCGATTTCTCACCGCCACTGCCAGAGGTAGGAGGAGGAGGAGGAGGAGGAGGAGGAGGAGGAGGAGGAGGAGGAGGAGGAGAAGGAGGACGCCCTCCCAATCCTCCCTTCTTCCCCGTCCTACCTAAAGTAGTGGTGGTGGACGATTGGCCCATCATCTCCGTCCCTTTCCTCCAGCGGGCGAACAGGAGGGCGAAGGCTGCGGGGGAGATGAAGCTCCAGTGCAGACGCGGGGGGTCGTTTGGGGGTCGGTCGTCCTCCGCCTCCTCCTCGTCCTCGTCCTCCTCCTCGTCCCTCTAATCATCCCCCTCCCACTGAAAGGATTCCAGACAAGGTTCTCCCCGCTGGCATCTGGCTCAAGGAGCCAGGGTCCTGAAACTCCACCGTGTCTGGGCTATCTCATGATATTTGTAGATCGTGTTGGGCGGTCGCCCAGACGACCCCCTACCGTATTACTGAAAACCATGTCGCTCTCTTACGTAACTCTTTGGTAGCGCAGCAGACCACGGTCTGCGATCTTGCCACAATGTCCTTCCTCTCGTGTGCCACCCTGGCGCTTCTCACCTTGATCTGGCATGCGCTCTTCACCGTGCCCACCATAATCCGGGCTGCGGGCCCCAAGGGGACCTCACTATTCCGAAGAACGAAAGGATGAATGAGCACGAAGATTAGGGGGGTGACGAGGAACGTCGGTGGAAGGGAAACATACGATTTGGGATGGGGAAGAGCGTGAGGAGTTCCCGTTCGTCCTCACCCTCCCCTTCCTCATCTTGCCACTTGTCCTCCTGCATTGCCTCCTCCTCCCCTAACCGTCGTACTGATCCTCATCATACTCCGCAGCCATGTTGGCTCAAGCTAAGCTGTTCTGGTTCAGGCGCGGCGCCTGAGCTTTCTGCAGCATGCCTCTTCAAAGCGGCCACGTGCTGCTCCGGTTCATTTGGCTTTCGTCCAGTGAGCTCGTATGGGAGCAGACTACGGGCCCTTTCAAGCAGTCCCCATGTCCAGTGGCGGTGTCGAGGTTCTACCCGGACCACGGATCTCGACGTGGGATTGCGCATGCGGCATACATGCGAAGTGGGCGTCTCGTCTCGTTTGCAAATGTGGTAAAGTAGCCCCTCAAGAAGTACGCCGTGCAGCCGAGCATCATGCTAAAGGTCACCAACACCATCAGCCTCGCGGGCCTGGTGGCGGTGGCAATCGTCGTGGGGATAAGTTGGCACAGCGTCTTGATGAGCCTGCAACGCAAGTGTGGAAAATTGCTATCTGGTGGTTCCAAGGGTCCTGGCTCTTCTGCCGTCAGCGGCACTACGGAGAAGGACGAGAACCCGAAGGACCAGAGGGAAAATGAGTACGTGAGACTATCATCGGAGGTTGATCGGCCTCCTACCCTGACGCGTCGATTGACGGATTGGCCGTTATCGGTTCGCGAGAGGGAGTCGCGACCGTCATTTTTGTCGGGTCCAGGTCCGTCGGCAGTTTTCACTGACGGGTGGTTTACCGAAGGGAAGTTTGTCCACCGCCGAATCAAGCAACTGGAGGTGGACATCGCCCACTGCGGCAACTTCGGGAGATGCAGGCGGGAGTGCGAAGCCAGAGAGTTGGACGCAGCACGGGAGGCGGCTCGCCGAGAGCCTGCGCCCCTCGGGCCCCAGCTTACCCAGCACACGGATGTCGGGCACCGGCTGGGGCATGCCAGTGCCAAGATCGGGGCCCCCCAACGGGGTGGTGACCACACCGTCTTCCCCCTCCTCCTCCTCCTCCTCCTCCTCCTCCTCCTCCTCCTCCTCCTCCTCCTCCTCCTCCTCTTTCTCCTCCTCCCCCTTTTCCTCCCCCTTCCCCTCCTCCTCCCTCCCTCCCTCCCTCCCTCCCTCCCCTTCTTCCTTTCTCCCTCCCTCCCTCCCTGTGGTGAGTCGGTGGGGATTCGGGGTCACCGCCCGGTTTTGGGAGACAGGTCGTTCTCCGAGGACGTCTCGGGCGACAGGGGCCTCAGGTCCGAGGACGTCTCGGGGACGCAGCGTGCGGTGATTTCTTGGGGTGCTGCAAGGTCACCGCATGATGTATCACCGCACCGCTTCGGGTGTCCAAGGAAGAATAATTCGCCGGCCCAACGTGCCAGGGCGTGCTCAGATCTCCGGTACCTGGTTAACAGTATTTCTAGTTCGCGCGCGCGGGGCGGCCCCTGGGGGTCCCCGGACGAAAAGTACCCCGGCAAGGTCCCGGCAAGTCCCCGGCAAGTCCCCGGCAAGTCCCCGGCAAGGTCCCGGCAAGGTCGGGTCAGAGATGCCGGAGTTCCGTTTCGGAGTCCAAGAGGGCTCCAGATCGGTCCAAGAGAGCCCCGAGAAGCTTTCTAGACGGTCCAAGAGAGGCCCGAGACGGCCAAAGATCGCCCGAAGACGCCCCAGAAGGCCCCAAGACAGCCCAAGAGGCCTCCAAGACGCTCCAAGGGCCTTCCAAGAGGCCTCCGAAGAGGGCCCCAAGTTGCCAAAATCGTTGATTTTCATTGTTTTTTCTATGTTTTTTTGCGTTCTGGCCTTTTCGCTTCCGGACGCTCCAAGAGGGCCCAAGAGGCCTTCAAGACTGCTCCAAGACGGCCCACGAGGCTCCCAAGACGGCCCCGGAGCGGCCCAAGAGCGCCCCCCAGACGGCCCAAGTGCTGCCCAAGGCGGACCAAGAGGCCCCAAGACGGGCCCAAGAGGGGCTCAAGAAGGGAACCGAGAACTGAAAAATCTAGCCCTCCGCCCCAGAAGGCGCCCAGGACCCCGAAAGAGGCCCCAAGAGACTCTCCAAGACACCCCCAAGACGCCCAATAAGCTCCCGTGAGGCCCCAAGAGGACCAACAACGTCAGGCCCCAGGCCCCAAGAGGACCAACAAATACCGCCAAGAGCCCGCCGAAAGCCCCCCAAGAGACCGTCACGAGAGCTCAGGAGGCCCCCTGGAGGCCTCCCGAGTTTTCCAAGAGGCCTAGAAAGAGGCGCCAAGAGGCCCCAAACGGCCCCAACGAGGCTCCAAGAGGCCACGAACGCGCAAGCAAACGCTTGCGATGGCACAATACGGGCCGGCGGAATGAGCGAAGCGATTAAATAATAATAACAACATGGAGCATCATATCCACGAACCGACTATGGCCATCGCGTCTGCTCAAGAGAAGAGCGATGGCATACGGGCTCAAGGCATTGCTACTGATCGCGAGATCAACGCACCCAACTTGGAATTGGTTTGCACGCTCCGTGCTGCTCACCCTGTCGGCTCCGAGCTGGATCCTCAGTTGCTGGCGGATGCCGAAGAGGAGAAGTCCAATAATATGCTCAACTCAGAGAAGAAATTCGCCACCCTGTTGGCGGCCATCTGCCCAGAGGGCGGAAGTTCCCGAGCCTACGCTTGTGCCGCTGTCCCCGTTCGATGGCGGAGATGCAGACCAGCCCGACCCTGCCGGATCTTATTAGCACTGACGCTTCCACTGGTGGCGGACAACCCGCAAATCAACCCACCCCACGCTTCGATCGCGGAATAGACCTCGGCGAGGACCTGGTCGATGAGATCATGCGTGCGGCCCTGCGCGTCGACAGCAGGGCCTTCTTGAACAGTTGGTAGTCAACTTTGCAAGGGGCAGCGGGCGGGGTAGCACCAGGCTTCCTCGCTGCTGCGGTCTGTTTGTGTGTGTCCAGATCCGGAGTTCCGGCTCCACTTCCCGCCCCCCCCCGACTCGTGCGTCCTCTCGCTTTTGCTCTTGGCCCGAGCGAGATTTTCGAGTCTTGCAACGGTAACGGTTGGCCAACGCTGAGAGAGAGATTTTGCTTCACGACGGCGCATGTACTGCTGGCTCAGGAGATCTATACTGTGGAGGGCTGCGATGGGGAAAGAGCTGGCTCGGCAGCGGGGGGTGGTTGGAAAACGCGGCAATCCCCTTTCCCTCCTGGTGAGGCTGGCAGGACAAAAGAGAGGGTGGCCGTCCTTGTTCGCGCGCATGTGGGCCTGCGTTGGCCGTCGGACTCCCCAGGGTTCGTTTCGCCCAGACGCGTAAACCATGCAATTGTGAATCTCCCCGGCGGGCCACCTTTGCGCGTGATTTCGCGTCGCCCCAAGTCTGGCACGCGGCTGCGTTCGCTGAACTTCACCACGTCAAGATTTATTGAGGAGGGGCTCGAAGGGAAATTCATGTTCGCTGCTGGGCGGGGGCGGGGGGGGCTTGGAATCTGGGCCCCCGCCGGTTTGATTCCACGGGCGTAGCTCGCGGAGTCGGAGGGGCCCTTCTGGCCCCGACCCAGAAATCTGGTTTATCCCTAGGGTGAACGAACGCTATTCGTTATTTTTGGGCCAGCACCGCCTCTGCTCGAGCTTGCGATAAGGTTGAGGCCAGCGCGTCTTAGACGCGTCGCCCGCAGAGTCCTGCGCAGATTGTTTCGCGGCCCGAAGCTGCGACGTGCTGGTGGCAGACGCACTTGTCGCACCGGCAGCTCTCGACGGAGCTGCTTTTCGGCCCGCGCACCAGGCGCGAGGATTGGACCCTCTGCGGGGCCATCGCTGTGGACGCTGGTGCTTATGCTCTGTCGCGCCCTGCAGGTAACACTTGGGGAATGCTCGCGGCTGCCTGGAATTATCTTGCAAACAAGCTCGAGCTCGAGCTCGAAGCCTTGATCGGGGTGGAGGTCAGGAGTTGGGGGCCATAAAAAAGGGGAGTTTCCCAAGCAGATTGCCAGACCCAGGCCTCTTAGCATTCGTGGCCAGACTTGCGGATGGACCTGGCTGGCCCAACGCCGGACCGAAACGGCTGGGACTTCCGCGAGGCGCAGTCAGGTGTCTCAGGATCCCGAAGTTGCCGGTCCCAGTAAGATCAAAAGCAAAAGGCTTCCCGGTGATGCTAACCAGCTCCAGCAGCTGCCCATGCCATCTTGCCCCGGTGAAGGGCTGAGTGGTCGTCTCGACGCAGCCCTGAGCCAAGCGCGTCGGCCCGCGCGCTCTTTTGCGAACGGTTCGGGCCTCGACGAGTGGATCGAGGAGCGGCGTCGGGGGCCCCCGTGGCCTCGGGGCGAAGACCTGAGTGGGGCGCGCATGGACGTTGTTCAGATTCAGCTGAGCAGATGGGGCCAATGGCAGGAGAAGGCGCTCTCTGATGGGGGCCGGGGTCATGCGTCGCCTCGCCACGGTGAGACAGACGCGGGCCCTCTTCGCCCATCAGGTTGACCATGGCTTTTTCTCCAACTCGCCCCAGGAGCAAGCGAGAAAGCTGAAGGCGAATGTCTGGCCAAGTTTCGGCATGCGCCCTGCGTTCCGCCCGCGGGTCGCACCCCTGACGTGCGCCGTCTGTCGCGACTGGCGGCCGCCGAGGTCAGGGGCGTCTCGCGTTGAATTTTTCGCTTCTCACTTCGCGGCCCCTCGACGGGCTGCGCCCGAGGCAGCTTTCCCTCGTCTCTGGTGAGGGTCTGGGCGCGCTTGGTGCGATGGCCCAAGCGATTAGGCCTTGGGCGTGTCCCCGAAACAGTTGTTTTGGCACCTTTTCCCCTTGCTTGAAAAAAACGAAAAGGGGCGACGCGCCCCGCCCTCCCGCGCGCGGGGCCCGCCCGCGCCCGGGGGGGCCGGTGAAGACCTGCGATTGCGCAGTCTGACGCGGATTGCCCATGCAAGGTGCGCGCTGTCGGCCCAGGGCGAAGCGCCGAGGATTCAGCGCGGCATCAGGCTGCGCAGGCCGAGCTTGCGCAGCAGCGCGATAAGGAAGCGGGGGGGGGGGGGATTGGCGCGGGACTGGGCACTGCGAGCTCGTTCGGCGTCTGTCCCTGGGAAGACGGGGCGTTGAGGGGCGGCGTCAATTCGGTGCTTATGAGGATTGCTCTAACAAGTGGCGAGGCCGCTATGGTGCCCGCTATGGGGCCCTGCCCAACTTCATTGAATGTGGCCCCCCATCAGGGCGCATGTCCAACGACGTCATGGATCGAGTGCACAGCGTTGAGGGTTTTGGTCGATTTGCTTCGATGACTCTCATATTGCCCTGTCCTCCCGCATCGATGATGACGGCGTCGCTGCGCCTGGATCGGAGCAGGATGTTCTGACCCGCATTGCCCAGGCTGCTGCTGCTCCGTGCGTCCTGTTCAGGGGTGAGCTGCACGCGGGCAGTCAGCCCGACAAGGTCAGCACCTTCGCCTGCAGCCTCTCTCTCGCCGAGAAGATTGGAGGTCTTCTTGGCAAGCTCGCGCGGCGCGCGACCAGTGGCGCGGTCCCCTTGGGCGCCGGCTTTGCGCGGGGCCAGCCGCGACGTGCTGGGCGGGGGCTCTGGGGGAGAAAGCAGCGTTTGCATCGGATGCAGAAGCGCCGCAAAGTTTGGACTTGCCGCCGTTCCAGGCTTCCCATGAAGAAAGACAGGATGGGCAACGTCTGCGTTGCTGGAGTGTTGCCAGCGGTCAGTCTTTGTTCCGCGGTGGTCGGGGTGTCCGATTTTGAGCTGCAAGAGGCTCGCAGGGCATCGCTTTCCTGGCGCCCGCCACGGCGCCGCGGGTGCTCGCTCCTGGCGCGCCTCGCGATCTCGGGGGGCCCTGCCTGGCGACCCTCTGTTGCGCGTGCCGTGCAGCGGGCTGCACTTTGTCGGTTGGCCCCTGCCGCCCCCTCTATCTTCCAGTGCAACATTAAGGGCATGTATCAGATGCGGCGAGCAGTGAAGTATGATGATGTGGTCTCCTGGCGGTCCTCTCGCGGTCCTGTGCAGCGCGCGCATCTGCCCCTGGCCAGAGTGGGTTGGCGGTCGGTGACCCCCCTCACTTTTAAGGATGATCATGGCCCCGCGGTGCATCTGGGATGCACCTCGCCGTCGTGTTTTTGTTTGGCCCCCCTCTACGCGTTGCGGCCCGCTGCCCAACGTGCGCGCGGCGAGTGGGTGCCCAACCCCCAGGGCCAGTGGCGCTCGGTTTTGCGTGGACCCTCTCAAGAAGAGCCCGGGCCGAAGAGGGCGCCATTTGACCCCGCGGCAAACGCGCGCGGCGTTGAGCGCGTTCGGGCATTTGGATCCGATCGCGTGCCCAGGCTGCTGGATATCAGTGCGACGGCTTGCGCCCCCCTTGCGGCCTCCCCGGCTGCGTTCGGCATCGATTTTGGCAAGGCTTACGCTCTGGGGCCGCCGCAGCAAGGAGAAGCGTTACAGACGATGCCCTGGCTGAGTGGCTCACCGAAGCTCCCCGCAGCAACGACCGCTTGTTTTTCTGATGCGCTAAAGTGGGAACGCCCCGGGGACGCTCGCGCCCTGCCCGTTCGTCCCCAAGCCTATCCTCTGCACTCCTGAAGGGGAAGTAACTGATTGGGGTTCATCGATCTTTCGGGATGCGAAGTGGTATTGGATGGTTCGGCCCTTTGCCGCGCGATTGGGGTGTTTTCCAGGTTGGCCTGCTCTTGGGTCTTCTGGGCCCTGGCGATGCCGCCGTTGCGTATGCGAAAGGAACAGTGCTTAACGTCCTTTCACAGACCTCTCAAGCTGGTGAACATGCGTGCGTGGCTCTGCCCCCAATGTCCCAGGAACATGGAGGTGGCCGGCGTTCCAGCTGCATGAACGTGGTTCGTTTGTGTGGCGCCCCTAAAAATTTGCAAGTTTTCGCAGGCATAGATGCGCTGGTCTTCGACGCGGAGCCATACTGCGCGAAGGAGATACCACCCCGCCTGCACACTGCGCCCTTGCGGGCCGATCTCGCGAGGTCCTGGGCACACTTCCCGCGCCAGAGCGACGTATCGGAACGTGTAGCTGGAACGCGGGCGTCGAGGCCAAGCAGGCCCTCTCCCTCCACCCCCATCCCAGTATGCATGAAAGAGAGGAGGTGGACAGGACATGTCAGTGTTTTGGTTTTCGCGGGGAAGGTCGCTGGCACTGTGTTGACGGCTATCTACGCGGAAGAATTCGATCGTTTGCCGATGGGTCAAAAAGGCCAAGTTGTCAACATCAGGAGGCTGGCGCGCCTGGCAGTTACTCGTTCTTGGGCGCGCGCGTCTTGCTTGCATTGCTTCCAGCTCTCCTCGGACTCCTCGGACGTTTCGGCGTTGCCCAAGTTAGGGTGTAGGGGCCCCGACAAAACTTGGTGGGTGTTTTGGGCCGCTCCCTGGGACACACCTTGGTCCATTGTATCGTTGACAAACGAGAGCAGCAGTTAATTTGTTTGGCGGTGCCACTTGCTCGGCAGAGCGTGTTTTCAGCGCCCGTTGTCGGGATGTCCCGCCGTTCTGCGCAGAATTTATTCTAGATTGTACCCCCACGAACGCGAAGTAGCGCCGGCCAGTGAGAGCACGAAAAAAACATTTTTGTTGTTGTCATACTGCGCAGCAGCCCCCACCTCGAGAAGTAAGCTTGCATTCGCCCACTTCAGGAATGATACCTACCCTCGGCATGTTGGAGTTCCACGCGCGAGTGGCGGCTCGCAGAGCCGAGGCTGCAGCACACTTTCCCAACATGTCTCGTTCGAGTTGCACTCAGACCAGCCGCATTTTCGGCATGCTCCATTCGGTTTTGATTCAAACCGTTCAAGCCCTATTGGTTTGCTGATTAGAACTGGTCATCATCCTGGCGCCCTTCGTCCGTTCTAATCGTCTTCCCCGTACTGGCCTAATTTTCATATATCCACCAGAAGGGGGCTTCTGGAGGTTGTCAACGGTCTTTGGAGGCCCAAAGAGGGCCAGGCAGGCCCATACATGTTTATTCGGGAGGGTTGCGTCATTCCGCAGGTCCCCAGGGGAGGGCACGTGAGTCTTGCTATGTCGTATGTGTTGTTTGACGCGTCCCGTCGCTGCCTGCGTGCAGTTGTTACCGGTTTGTTTTCCTCGTCGCCCGCGTTTTTGTTGCAGGGTTTTCGAGGGAGGTTCCACGGAGGCCTAGGGGGGTGGCCCTAGGGAGTCTTTTCAAGGCGGCTCTGGGAAACCCTCTTGGCCCTGGGGGGCCTCTTGGAGGGCATGTGTGGGGGTTGGCCACACACAAAATGTGGCGGGGGGGGGGAAAAAACAACTATGTGAAAACACCCCTGCTCTGTAGATGTAGGGCCAACCCCGACTAAGAAACAACGTCCTTGCCCCCGTGTGCGCGCCGCCAATGGGGGCGGGGGAGTGTTCCTGGGGTCCTTGCGAGTTTTTTCATTGGGCCTGTCTTGGGTCCCTCTTGGGGCCTTTTTGAAGGCGTGTGTTGCCATCTTGTTGGGCCTCTTGCGCCGTCTTTGGGCCGTCTCCAGGCCTTTTTGGGGGCCTCCTGGACCAGTCCCGGGGGGCCCTCTCGTGCAGCTTTTCGTTTACAGACACCCACAGAGGCGAGGACGCGACAATTATTGACAACCCCAGTTCCATGATGTGTGCATATTGAGGCTCAGCTGGGGGTCTTTTTGGGGCCTTTTTTCGGCGCCCTGGGCCGTCGTAAGGCTATCTCGGGCGCCTCTCGGCGTGTTCGCCTCTTTTGTGAACTGCCTGGGAGGGATCGTGGGCGTCTTGAAGGCGACGGAGGGTGGATCTGGAGGCTCCAGGAGCCAGGAAGTGCCGTCGACGAGCCCGTAGGGACCCCCAGAGGGGGGAGAGGGGAGGGGGGTGTGGTTGCCAGGGTAGGCCGTTGCTCAAGCACCGCGACAGGTGCGCAGAAGTCTCGCCGTGTTCCAAGAAGCTTCGCGTGTGCTGTGCCCGCCTACGTGACTATCCTCTTCGTCATGACATTTTGCCTTTTAGATTTCAGTTCGACAGTCTGACGGGGGCGAGCGGCCTCCCAGGGCCCGACGAACGCAGGGATAGGGATTCATTTGGCGCTGGATATGACCACCGATCAGAGTCGGCGGATCCTCTATCCCCGGACAGCCAGGGACACGTTTTCGCTGCACGCCCGCGGTGTGCGCGCGTGTGCACGGCAGGTCCGCGCCGCTTTGATTCCAGGCCTCCCAGATGGGGCCTCAGCAGATGGGATCGGAAGATCGCGCCGCATCGCCGATGTATCGGCCATGCGGCTCGATGTGGAGCCGGACTTTCTCCATGCCGACGGAGCCGATGCATCGAGGGCGTCGCGGATGCATCGTCGATGCATCGCCGATGCACTGGCGATGCGGAGACATCTTCCGACCCCATGTGCTCGAGCCCTATTGGGGAGGCCCCTATCCGCGGCGAGCGAGGGGGGGTAATGAAGCAGGAAAAGGCCTTCTCAGGAGGCGGCGGGACTTCCCGAAAGACCACGCGCCTTCTGATCAGTTTTCTGTGTCTTCGTGGAAGGCTTCGACAACTTTTCAGAAGGCTGGGTGACTTCCGAGCATTCTAGAGACAGTTTTTTGATCCACCCAAGGGATAAGACATGTTACCCCCCTCCTGGCCCCCGTAACAGCAACGCCCGGGCCCGGGCCCGGTCCAGTGCGCGATCCCAGGCAGCCTAGGGCCTGTGGTGCACGCGGGCACTACTGGTGCCACGGTGCATGCGGGCGTGCATTATGGTGTACCGAGGCACTGCGCTGTACACCAGCGTTGTGGCGCACAATTGTCGTTGCAGCAGCTGTGATGTACACAGGCGAAGTGGGTGTACGCAAGCATTGGGGTGTACACATCACAAGCCCTGTGTTGTACACAGGCGCCGTGATGTACACAAACGCTGTAGTGCGCAAGGTCGCTATGATTTGTACATTGTGGGCAATGATGTACCCACGCATGCCTCCCTACTTTTCCATCATCATCATCCCTCGTCATTTTCGTCCTCGTCGTCCTCCTTGCGTACAGGACGTGGGCATTGTGGTGTACACACGCATTGTGGTGCACGCAGGCCTTGTGGTGCACACAGGCGTTGTGTTTCACATTCGCTCCGGGCTCAACATGGCCGAGCGTTATTCGGGCCAGAAAAGGCAATGATCATAATCATACAGCATATTGGATATGAGACATTCGAGCCCCCAACGATTTCCCGGACATTGGGCTCCGCCGAGGCCGTCGAGGTGTACATGCTGTTAGATGATGGCGTGCATCTTGGCAGCGCTCTTGGAAAGAGAGCGCGGGCCCCGAACTGTCGACCCCATCGTTTGTCTCCTTTTGCCCATCCTGCTACTCCTGCTGGTGCTGCTGTTCCGCCGTTCCGCGCGCCCCCAAGCCGCGTGGTGTTCGCGGGCGCCTTGGTGCGCGCAGTTGCCATGGCGTGCGCAGTCGTTACGGCGTACACAGGCGCTGTGGACCCGTGATATCCGAGCGTTCTTTGGGCCAGAAAAACAAATGACCACAATCAACTCACACATTTGAAGTTGTTACGCTCGGGCCCCTAACGATTTCCCGGAGTTTGGTTCCGTCGGTGCGTTCAGGTGTACACGAGTGTTGTGGTGTACGCCGGCACAGTGGTGCACAGGGGGGGTGCTGAAAGACAGATGTGGTGCACGCAGGCGCGGCGGTGTGCACAAGCGGCGTGATGTACAAAGGCGCTGTGGTGCACACGGCCGCTATGGTGTATACAGTCGCCGTGGTGCACACATTTGCAATTCTTGCAGTTGTTCTGGTGCACAAAGGCAGCGTGGTGTACAGAGCCCATGTTGTGTGCACAGGCACTGTGGGCTTGGACGGTGACGACGACGACGACGATGACGACGACGCCGACGGGGTGCGCGCCGCGGCCCCCGATACCGTTACCGCTCCCCCGCCCCCCCCCAGGGTAACACGTGTGATCCCCCAGGAATGAAAAATTGTCTCCTGAGAGGGTTCTTTCTCACTTCCCCCTCTGGGCTCGCCGCAGATATGCGGATCCCAATGGGGAGACCTCTATAGGGCGGAAGGTGTCCGTCGAACCAGAAGGCACGGCAGAAGCAGACATGCTCGGAGCTCCGCGCGGATTTTCCCTGGGTCGGCGCTGGGCCCGTGTGTGACGTCGCCTCCGGCACCGCCGCTGGCGCGCTCCGAGCGCCAGAGGGGCTCATACCGCCGATCCTCACCGAGATCGCTCCACTACTCGCAAAGTGCCTATTCGCAAACGTCCGGAAAACGCGCTCGCCTCGACGTAGTGGATCGTAGACCCCCCGCGGCGAATCTGGGCCATTAGCGAGCGGTTATTTTGTGAGTGGTGGAGCGCGCCTGTCTAGATCAAAGAATCCCGCTGGGAACTCCGAAAGTTTAGGTTTGTGCAATATTTTCTCCCTCAAGCCAGTGGCCTGGATTCGGCCGGCATCGAGTGATCCCCGCGCCTTCGGGGAAGGCCGCATCATCGTCCAAAGTTGAATTATCCACGCGGTGCCATACGCCAACGCACGTCACGACTTGAGCCGGCCGCAGCCGCGGCGGTGTTCTTCCGTTCGTCGCAAGGAGCGAGCGGGGTCCTGACGGAAACGGACCCCAGACCTAAGTTTCTTCTCCCGAGTGCTCCTGCGACACTCCAGGGGCCCAGGAGGGTCCCGTGGCTCTGACAGCGACAGGACCCGTTTCTGTCGAGACCCGGTCCCACACGTGAGCGTTTTGGGAGTCATTGTTCGCAGTTTGCCCGAGCAAACTATCCGCGCAACAACGCGCACCAACGCACAACAACGCACAGTACCGATCGACACCACGCAACGCCGCGCCCTTCACCGAATGCCGTTGGGCGGTGTTGCGCGGTGTAGGTTTTCGAGTCGTTTCCCAGAGGCTGCCATGGATCGGACACGTACGCTTGCGTAAACAAGCGCATGCATGCATAGTTTCCGCACCGGGGAGGGTGGTCCACAGCCGATCCAAGACACCCGCGCGGGGTTCCGTATTGGCTCAAGCTGTTTGGGCTCAAGTCTGCACCAGGAATCGGGTGCAACCGCTGTTGTCACCTATTCGCGGAATTCCTTGCGAAAAGCGTCTTCCATCATGGCTATGCTTCGCGTGCCCGTGACGATCTTCTTCATGGCCACGGCGTGGGCGCAGGAGCTCTCGCAGCAGGAGCTCGAACCCGCCCTCGCCGCGGATGACGAGTGCGCCGACGGCGGCGACACCTGCGTCGTGGAGCTGCTGCAGGCTCGCGCCTCGAAGGACGCCAGGGCGGAACACACGATCTCCGCCGAGAAGATCATCTTGGAGGCCGGCTCGCAGCAGCTCCTGCAGCAGAACGCCACCGCCAACGCCACGGCCAACGCATCGCAGCCGCCCTGCAGGGGTATCAACGAGGCCTGCTGGATCAACAACGACTGCTGCTCCGCGCGATGCGGGCTCACCCGTCGTTGCCGGCCAGTGCGCTAGGGCACTCCTGTTCGCCTCCCCGTGAGCGAAGCATCATCATTCGCGCGGAGTTGTCCATCCTGGCCTTCGATCAAGATTGGCAGCCGTCGCAGCATCTCGAGAAAAGACCCGCGCGGACCTCTGACAGTTTGTGTTTACGCAGTGTCTCGGGGGCAGAAAGTGTACCGACACCGCTACTCCCAGGACCTCGCCCGAGGTGCATTCCGAGCAGGATCTCGAGGATAATCCAGCCGTGTCGACGAGAAATCTCCAGGACGAGCAGTGGTATGGGTATCTGTTCCTCTGAGTCTCTCTGGGCCTCCCAGATGGGGTCGGAGTATGGGTCGGAGGATCGCGCCGCATCGCCGATGCATCGTCGATGCGGCTTGATGTGGAGTCCGAATTGTTCCACGCCGAAGTTGCCGATGCACCGCCGACGTCGCCGATGCATCGGCGATGCACCGGCGATGCGGCGCGATCCTCCGACACCATATTCTCGAACCCCATCTGGGAGGCCTCCATTTTCTTATGTTTAGTATTACCCTTATCGTTGTTATTATTATTCTTGAGACCAGTTCTCTTAGTTTCTCATTATTGGTACGATGAGTTTAAGTATTGGTATTCGTGCTATCAGCAGTAATGTTATTCGAATTGTTCGTGATATAGTATGCTACTATTCGTGGTGTGATTAGCATTGTTAGCATTCGCGTTACTACGGCGGCCCGTATTAGTATTGTTGGTGCAACAGTCATCAGTAAGATAAGTATGAGTATCAGTCGTAGTAACATTGTTGTTGTTAGTAGTAGTAGTAGTAGTTGTAGT